TAAGGTTTCATTTTAATTAACAGGCCACATAATATTCCCCCTGAGCTGTGGTTCGATTTCTAAAAATCATTGCTCAACAGACTGGAGGGCAGCGCTCTTCCTCTTTCCACTCCATCTTTCGAAAGCAGAGTTGAATTGTCACTGTGACCAAGTATAAAAAATAACCATGAAATCACCCTACTTCTACTTTCCAAGCTTTCTAAATAGAAATGTACCCTTGTGTAAACCTCTAGGGAAATGTACTGGTTTCCATTAAGAGGGAGGACCAGTCTGATCGCATAGTGTGATCTTTCATGGGTCTGTATGGAGGATGTGGGTTTTCTTCCTCCTCAACTGATGGGACCACAACTTCCTGAATTGAAAGCCAATCAGATTTCAGTTTTCACTGTGAAAAGTGGCAGCAGCTGAAAACGAGTGCATGTGTTTATTAGTGTCTCATGACTCCTGTATCACATGCAAACAGAACAACATGTGAAGGGGATTGTATTTGTTCCCTGCTCTGTCAATTTATTTGCATTCCAAGATAAAGGAGGTACAATCTAGCTAGATACTTGCTATTCTGTCTATCGACCAGCTGAGGGCAGCAGGCTACCCAACACCGTTTATGGGCCTCCTCTGCTTTTAAGTCCTCTGTAATCATGCCTGGTTCTGTATGGTTTTGCTGTTACAATATACGCATTACATTGTAAATCTATTACATGGCAAACCAGTGTTGTCCTTCAGCAAACAGCTGTGACCATATGCTACGCATCATAATCATGATCAAACAGAAAAAATCTAAGGTTTCGCTTTTAAAAGACCATATGGGCTTAACAATAATGACGGTGAAACCAAATCCTCCCTGCTCCTTTATTCTCCGCTTCATTCTCTGCATTATTTTTACCCAGAGCCCGGTTGTGTAAATACACAGCCACACAAGAGAAAAAATGTAATCCAAATCCCAGAGTGAAAGGCTTGGTGTAATGAATGCTGGGTGTGGCTCAGGCAGGTTCTAATATGCTGTATGGAATCCTGTCCCGGCTGTTATAGGAGCTTCGCAGCTACCTTGTCTTTGGTGTCTGTAGAGTCAATAAAATGATGTGTAATCAAACAGACATTCCTGGCCGTCATTCACAAGCCAAGGCTAAACACACAGCCTGAGGCCAGTGTATGTGAAAACAAACAACGACAGAGGACATAGGTTTTCAAACGTCACAACACTCTTCTGGGCACAAATAATCTTAAAAGTTTGGGTACATAACGGAAACTCAAACGAAATGAGGAGAGATGTAAATCTGATACGACTTGAGCTTCTTGTTTTAGAAGTATTACAGGACACGAAAAACAATATGATAATGAGTACATCAAATTAAAGCACCAGTTTCAACATGATAACACTACAGGGAGAATACATGAATAACAGTAGTAGCACTTACTCACTGGGAAAGAAACGCACATATACTTTACGTGATAAATGACGACATAGGTGACAAACAGTAAAACCATGTGTCAGATGTAACAGGAATATAAGAATAGAAGACTGATGTGGAAAAACACAGCACACAATATTATACTTAGTGTGAAATGCCTTGGGAGGACATAGAGTGTACTGTAGCTGTCAGAGAGCTAAATAACATTGGAGGAATGCAGCATTGGATATAGTATATGTATTACTAGCTGCAGAGCTAATGAAACCTCCAGGCAGAGAAAGAGAAAGCTAACCAATTAGCAGGAAAGTTAAAACAATGACATTCTCACCAAACACTGATTTCAGGTTTAGGACAGGAGAGTAAAGAGATGAAAATGTATATGATTCCACTCCTACGCTTCGCATTTGCTGTGTGTTTCCTCATGTGCTGAAGTATTATTTGCTCCTGCATCTACCCTTGTTCTGACCACTAAGGTATCACTTTACTGCATGGTTGCTGAAAATCAAGTTGCTTTAGTGTTTTTTGCATCGTATCAAATTCAGAACATTTGGCAGCTTTTTAACATCTTACCTTTAACACTAAGTTGGTCCACGAAGCTGCCAACTTCTGCATACAGTACATGAATACACAAAGATAGATTTGCTGTATACGTTCTTTTGTTCATATGTAAAATGATCCGTTTCTCTTTTTTGCACTTCACTGTTGTCGTGTGGGATCATACAGTATGTGTATGTGTAGTAGCAGTGGGTCTTACCACAGCGGTCCCTGATGACCAGGTTGCGTCCTTCCTTCAGGTTGATGGTGAGCAGAAAGGACCTGGAAAGATCCCTGGTGTTCTCTGACACACTGAAGGACTCGTTGCCCATCTCGTACTAGAAACAGACACCAAAACATTAGCATAATTTAGTTTATTACTACTAGGAGTGCATGTGATTACAGCTAGACTTTCTGAGAAAGTCTACTGCTGGATCTGAATATGAACACATATCATGTGTATATAGGGCTGAGTTTCAGTTAAGATACTAAAACCATGCTTTTTTATATACTACTATACCTTAATATAAACCTTTCCTACAAACCACATTTCTATTGACAAAAAGGAATAGAATTTTTAAAGTTCTGATAATTGATTAGGAACGATACGATCAAAAACTACAGTAGAAGATAAAATATGGCCGAACATTTGACATCTGTAATTGACAGATTGACCAGTGTTATAGGTTTCCCTATTTTCTTTCATATTTCAAAATTCTCTAATTTGATATGTTAAAGTCTTGATTTTATTAGAATTCATTATTCAGATATCGTATTACACTTAGCTATGTTTTCCTTTTATATTTCCTTTGTGGGTTCAAGCACATAGGGACGATTTTGTTTGTTTTTTAGAATAACAACATGGAAAATGAATTGTGGTGTCCACATTGTTCCTATTGCAACACTACAGCTCGTAAACTAGCTGTTAGGGGCTTTTTTCACAGCATTGTGATACACAACTTCGAGTTCTTTGATTTTGTTCTGTTTTCAGTTATTTATTCCAAAGTTACATGTTCTTCACATACTAGAATTTATAGATTGTCTATAACTCCTAATTTTATACTTTTTTAGTTAGACTGTGTTGACCTTTTTTATGTAGTTTTCGATACAATATAAAACACACTCTACGCAGTTGCATGCCATCCATGCTTCCTGTCTATGCAATGGATTATTTAATCACTATTAAGCCTCTCCACCAAAGCAAGCATCTTTCAGAGAATAAACCCTGGCAGCCTGGAATCACCCGGCTCAGAGTCCCAACCCTGACCGCCAGGATGACACACACTGAGCGCTGAACCACACCGCCTACTGTCCCATCATGTCCTGAACACAACACAATAATCTGGATTAAACTTTGACACAAGTGTGTGTCAGCCAAAGCACAATGCTGCTGTCTGCACAATGCTTAACAAAAAACACGATCACAGCCACAGCCTACCGCGGGGTCCTTTTAACCCCACAGATAAAACCACCCACTCTCACCTTTTCTACACGACGTTATTAGATAAATCTTTAGTAGACAACATAGTGACTAATATTAAAATGATATCAGCACTGAATCCCCATACAAATTAACAAATGCTCAAACTAGATTGCAGCACTTACATTTTGGTTGTCCCCGTCCTTTGACATGAGACTGTTGAAAGCATGATTATCATACTGTGGAGACAAGGATAAATACATTTCAAATAAATCATGTGATATATGAAGGGGAAAGTCCCAGAGAATGAAAGAGGAAAGTTTAAGTCTGCTGGTCAGTTAAAGGGTCAAGAACTGATCTCTCTTTGGCATTTCTACCAGCACAAATCCTCTGATCATTTATTAAAAATTCCTGTATCCAGGGGACTGCACAGCATTAAACCACAGAACAAAATACTGGGAAAAAAAGGGAATCTGCTCTCCTTCTGTTTTTGTTTTTCATTTTCAGTTCAAAATGACTTCAGATCAGAGCCTTTACCTCCTTGTAGATTTTATATTACGGGGGAGTGAGCATTATCCAATAAATTTTACAATACTTACAGATCTTTTGGGAACCTAATGTATAACATGGACTGATCACATAACCAGGAGAAAGTACATTTGTTTTTTGCCAAAAAGCATTTGCAGAAAGTCAGCCTGTCAGGAATGAAAATAAGAATGGAGATTTTTCAGTTTTTTGTGTGTTGCATTTCTCTGTTGTAGTTTAAAAAAAATGTAGTTCAAGAGACTGTGGTCAGACTAACCTGTTCTGGGGCCCCAGGGAAAAAAAATCAACTAGTGTGCCACTATCAACCCCCCTTGGTTTTCACAGTGTGTACAATACATTGTATATTATATACAGGAAGTCAAGTCCAGTCAAGTCAGTTTTATTTGGCTTGTTCACAGTATGTACACTGCCCTCCAAAAGTATTGGAACAGTG